CCCCGCCCCTGCTCTTGCTACTGGCCCCACTCCTCCGCCTGGCCCCGCCTCTGCTCTTGCTCCTGACCCCGCCCCTGCTCTTGCTTCTAGCCCTCCCCCTACTGATACTCCTAGCCACGCCCCGACTCCTGCTTCTACTTTCTCCCTGCCTCCAGGTCGCTCCGGTTAACTTTGCCCAGCCCCTGCTCCTTGTTAGGTCTCCTCTCGGTTTTCTGCACCTACTCGTCACTGGGTCTAGGTTTTTGTTTCTCACTTTGACAGAGGCCTTCCTGTTTTCCTTTGTCCTGCTCCGACCTGTGATCACATCCTTGTTCTTGCATCTGGCTCCCCGTTCACTCCTTGCTCCAAGCCCCCACTTCTCTTGGCATTGCCCCTTTCTCCCCGCGCCGGCCCCAGCCTGTTGCTGGGTGCTACTCGGCATCCTGCCCCGGTTCTCCGCCCTCGGGTCCAGGTCCCGCACTTTCTCCACGCCTCGCCCCTTCCCCTGTCTCCGCTCCGGTCTCGGGCCTGGGGGCTGCCCCTCCCTGGGCTTCCTCCCCTTGCCCCACCCCTTCGCTCCGCACAGCTCTCCGTGGGCGCGCAGACGCCTTGGCTCCGCGGCTAGCTGCTCCCTGGCCAGCTGCATGCCCGGATGCTTCTCGTTAGACACCCTCTCCGCGCCTCGGGAGCTCTCGTAAGGGACCCTTTCTTCCACCCTGCTTCTCTCTTCCTTTCGGGCTCTCTCCTCCCGTTGGGATTTCTGCTCTCCCCAGCGCCTCTCCTCTCCCCAGGATCTCTCCTCACCACCGGCCTTCCCCTCCTCACCCAACCCCTTCTCGTGAGAGACCGTTTCTCCGCCTGGCGGTCTCCGCTCACCGCAGGGTCTCCCCTCCCTTCGTGGTCTCTCCTCAGCCCAGATCCTCTCCTTGTCCGGGAATCTCTCTTCACCCAGGGATCTCACCTGGCCCCGAGATCTCTCCTCACCCCGCCCCTTTTCGTGAAAGACCCCGTCTTCACACGGGGATCTCTCCTCTCCTCGAGGTCTCCCCTCGCCCCGCGATCTCTCCTCTCCTCGGGGTCTCTCCTCGCCCCGCCATCTCTCCTCTTCTCGGGGTCTCCCCTCGGCCCTCGGTCTCTCTTCTCGGGGTCTCTCCTCACACCGCGA